AAAATATAGAAAATTTCCAAAAATCAGAAAACAATTTCTATGACCAAGATAGAAATTATCGACAAGCCCACACTTCTATATTAATTAATTTATGTTCTGTCTGGCAAGATAGATACTATTGCCCGAAAATATCAAAGAAAGAAATTCATCTACAAATTTTTTATACCCATCAAAGTTATCATGTCTCGCATAACTACTTTTTTTTTGAATAAATTACTTGCATTACTATTAAGTTTATTCTTCTACAACTTTAGTCCTTTAATTGGCCTCGGCTCTTTAACTATTCCTACAACGAATAAGTAAATGAATGAGTAAACAAATAAATAAATAAAGTTAGAATTCATATGGAAAAACTTCTCGATGTTCCCGGAAAATAGAACGGTTATTCACTAGTGAAACCACTGTGTCACTCGGGGATGAAATCACATGAAATCAGTTCTGAAGTCACTTGAAATCCGTTGTAATCAGTGAAATCATGTAATTTCACTGTTTTCAAATGATTTCATACGAAATCGCTTGCAATCATTTGAAATTACTTGAAATCATTGTGTCACGATATTTGCTAGTGAATAACCCGTCGCGGAGAATTCTGTAATTTTTTATAATGATTGGGGAACACATTTAAGTGACTTTTTTGATAATTGAGGAAGATTAATTGCATTAACTTTGACACAATTAAATCAACAAATTTTTTATTATACAGCCCGCTCTTATACGATTGATTTTCGAATTGATAATGCACTTACTGGAAGACTCGTAATGTGTGTAAATATACTGAATCAACTGGTAATATGTATAAATATACTGAATCCAATGGCCACGTAAAAACCCGGAGAACCCAGGTAAATCCCGATATTCAAAACTTTAAGCCCCATTAAAACGTGAAAAACCCCAGATATTTAAAACTCCAAGCGTCTCTTGTCTAGTTTATTTCTGAATAATCAATTCAGGTTGAGGGATTGAAGTTTTTGGGAAAATAAAATTGACAAAAATCAAAATATTTCGAGCTCTGGCGAGTTTGCATAAACATCCTTAATCCAAGAAAAAAAAATTCTCAATGTATTTCGTTCTTGTCTTCTCCGTTCTGTTTGGTTCGATTTGGTGCTGTTATGTTTCATGCGGTTGCAATTCCCTGCAACGATAAAAACACGATGGGCATCCAAAGTATCCGACGGGAACAAGGAAAAGAAATCGATTTGAATTCCATCCTGTCGAAAAATTTGTAAATCAATGCCGACATGACCAGCATTGGTCATACGAAAACACCCCAATGATGCGGAAGGTATAAAAATACCTCCCAGTGATCTATTAAAAATCATACTAGATTTATCGGTACCTGACAGATGCATTATTTATGTCTGAATTCCAAAAGGTATGTGATGGAGATGACATCATAGTACGTCATGGATTGTGAATCACAGTGGGTAATCCAGAGTACGTGGGTATAGCCTCAAGGTTGTACCCACTCGAATTCCATGACAACCAGTAAAATAAAAACAACAATGGGATTATTACCTTTTGACTCTTGGTCTGCGAGGGTGTCACTGATCGAATTGTCCTGGCCAACAACAATTCCCATTAATCTCCTTCATATTTCATCTTCAATTTCGTCATGCCCCCATGTCATACGTTTTGTCATACCTTCGTTATTTGTGCTAATGAATTCGTGCATCACAACCCTGTTTGACATTTCTCACTGGCCTTATGTCACTGTTCTACTATTCTCCATTGGTCTTGGATTTTTTAAAATCCAATCGAAAGAAATAACAATCGGTAAAAGTGCCGTTTTCATATTCATTGTCTCGAATATACGGTGTGGCGGTTTGTGACCATGGACCGATATACAAGCAGGATTCACGTCGACGCCTCACCAGTGTCCTTGACTCCTTTAAAATACCCCAGGCAAATATTTTCGAGAGTTGAAACCACCGAAACGCGGACATCGTCATTGTTCCTCGGCGAACGTTCGTTAGCCCCGTCGTATGGGTTCCGGAATAGATTTTTCTTGGAATACATTGATTCATCAATTAAGTATGTTTATTCATTTTTCTGAAATCGATTTTTTTACGAGGAAAGTTATGTAATTTTTTAGACTAATGGATCACATAAAACCAATAATTCTGAATCCTGCATAAAACAGACCGAGGGAAATGTTCAAGGTAGGTGGGTTTTGGGATGTTTTGGGGGCGTGGGCTATTTTTTCTTGGTCTATTTTTTCCATCGATCGCCGAAAGAAACTTTCCATCCAACGGTCCCTAAAACGGCATTTCACGGACACTTCTTATCCGGCAAAAACTGTTTGCAGAGAGCGGGAAGAAAAATTAGCCTCGTCACTCGGCCGGAATAGTATATTGTGGCCAAGTACGGAATAGTATTTTTCCGGCCTGTTGCGATGGGGTTTTTTACTCGTGTGTTTGGCCAGTCCTCGCCTACGGCTCGGAGTCCAACGCCACACGAGTAAAAAAACCCCATCGCAACAGCCCAGGAACAATATTTTTCTGTAGTGATTTTCAAGTTTTCGAGTTTGGGAAGTATGTAATACCAATTCCCAGATGAGAAATCGTGAGAAGCAGTACAGAAAAGTCATTTTTTCCCGCCCGAGGTGCACATGCTTTTTTTCGGCCCGGCGGGCGCAAATTGCGTATTGCGCCTACGCCGAGGTGAAATAGTACATTACATGCCCGAGCCTTGGAAAACAGATCACCGTCCCCCACGCGCAAGATTGCCTTCCGAGCCGAAGGCGAGGATGGCAAGCACGTGAGGGAGGGTGATCTGTTTTCCATGGCGAGGTGTGTATATTAATTTTCGTGTCGAGGGATCTGCAAAACGCCCGGTCCCTCGACACGAAAAAACCATTGACCGTCCGTCCGTTGTGTTTTTTGGTCCCTTGACACAAAAAAAAACATTCTAACCACGAAGGGTAAAATAAAGAACCCCATGACATAGAATGCACACGGGGACGAATCCGTATAACCAATAAGATCGCAAGATTTTCCCGCCAATCTTATTCTCTTGACTCTGATTGGTGTGTGCGGCTGCGTCTCCGTGTGCATTCCGTTCCATGGGCGGTCACCCTTACTCATGTGCACCCTCGGATGGTAATTCTGCACGTGGGCACGACTCTTTTATTTTTTTTCTCTAGGTAGGGAATATACTATTTTCGTCACAAGGCCTTGCCTCGGCTTCGCCTCCGGTAACCCTTACACTCGTCACAAAAGTTTTTTCGGCTGAGTGACGAACTAGTACATTACATGCCCGAGTCTCGGAAAACAGATCACCGTCCCCCACGTGCAAGATTGCCTTCCGAGCCGAAGGCGAGACAAAAAATAATGTTCGTCAGTTGACTGAAAATAGTATATGGTGCATTAAGTGCAGAAATAGTGCATTATATGCCCGAGCCTTGGAAAACAGATCTCACTCAGTGATCGCCTTCGGCTCGGAAGGCAAGCACGTGGGGGAGGGTGATATGTTTTCCATGGCGAGGTGTGTATATTAATTTTCGTGCCGAGGGACCTGTAAAACGCCAATTTCGTGGTCCGCAGCGCCACGAAAATGGGATTTTTCAGGTCCCGTGACACGAAAATAATTTTTCCTCACAATGTCCTTAAACGGCGTATGACGGCGTAAAACATCGTTTACGGACACATCGAGAGAAATGTTCAGTAAAAATTACGGAACTCACAGTTCGCTCACCGATTACGGAATCGACTCGGAAAATTCAAGTGACGGTATCGTAATTTTTACTTGAAACGCCTTGAAAAATTACGATACCAATTTCACAACTAAAAAAGTAAAGTAATTTTTCACAGGTGGTTTAGGTAAATATTACGGAACGCTTTAGAAAAATTCCGGGATTTTAGGTAAAAATTACGTGACAGTTCCGTAAAATTTCCTACAACCACATTTCGCTCCAGAGTTACGGAAAAGATACGTAATTTTTATTGAATATTTCTCTCCGTGCAGTGTGATGAAAATTGATTTTCGTATCACGGGAACTGAAAATTAATATACACACCTCGCCATGGAAAACATATCACCCTCCCCCACGTGCAAGATTGCCTTCCGAGCCGAAGGCGAGGATGGCAAGCACGTGAGATCTGTTTTCCAAGGCTCGGGCATATAATGCACTATTTCTGCACTTAATGCACCATATACTATTTTCAGTCAACTGACGAACATTATTTTTTGTCACGACGTCCGCAACAAAATTCGTTGCCTTACGGTCGCAATGACAGAAAATTTTTTGAGCCCCTACATAACCCCCTGCTAACGCCTACATTCGATGCGTCTATTTCATTTCCGCAAATCGTGTTCGTGAATTAAAATCTCCATCTATATGAAAGAAATAACTTCCCCCATGAGTTGAAAAAAAAATCAAAATAAAAAAATCTTCAACCATAACGATAAAAATAGAATCAATTCAGATCCATTTTGTAGATCTGGACTTATTCGTAGTGAACAAATTGATTCACAAAAAGGACCAAAAAAAATCATCGGGCATCTATACTAAACGCCTCCATTGTTAGTGAACTTTTGCGAAAAAGTCAAGGTCGATTTTAGCGAAGAAAGGCCAAATTACCCTTCCCCGAATTTTTTTCTATAGCAGTGTGAGCCAATAATGAACCTCGGTTGATGAGTAGATTCTCGATCTGACACGTCAGCGTTACGATTTCACATGTTTGCCCAATAATACTAGGGCCGTTCATGCCAGTCAAGGTTTGAGGATGTCAGAAAGAGACCATGCGGTGACGTTGGTTCATCATCGAAGGAGGAGGAAGGAAAGAGTGCAGTTGAATTTTGGTTGGACGAGGGAGACGGAGATGTTCGAATATTTTGTTGATGGAGAAGGTAATGGGACAAGATGCGAATGGGACCGGGGGGCCCACCGGCGTCAGTCCAAACGAAGCAGGGATAGGATTGCCGAAGGACAGGAGGAGCTCATGTGCCCACCCGAGTGGGGATACATAGCGCTGAGGATGGTATAAGAGAAGCCAGGATATGGAGGCGTCGCCAGTCACACTAACTTTCTTTAAAGCGATACATACGTGTTATTCCACGGGGACGCGTATCAGGTGAGTACGTCCCCGAGACCCAAACGCTTCAAATGTCAGGGGGAATGCGAAAAAATAAGTCCGGTGCGAAGTTGTGATTAAATTGATTCAGTGACACCAGGAGTCGGCAATCGCTCTTTTCTATTCACAATTTTTTTCTGTGAAACAGTGTTTATCTTGTAAGGGTGTATCGATTTGCTGATCGAGGCAGTGTCATTGAAACATTCATACGGCAATTGATTGAGTACATGAGATGCAATAGCCAAGTGGTAATGTTTACACTCAGTCACGTTCAAGTTGAAGGCCTCAAACGGGTATGCTGTTAGAGACAAGTTTAGCAACGACACGCTGGGTACTCAATTACCGGTGTGGTAAATCATGCGATTTTCCTACCAAGCGATTATGTCATTAAGTATCTACTAGTAATTTACTAAAGTCAAGTTGCAGTAATGTTTTTTCTCAATGGCTTCTGCGAATTCGTGCTAATTGGCGGCTAATTTTGGATGAAGAAAGACTAGTTGTAAATGTCAGATCGTGATAATGTACATTTGGTTGGAAATATCCATCAATTTTTTTAGTCACGGAATTCAAGTTGAGATGATTAAGCACAAGGTGAGGTCATTGATAAATATGTAGATTGGTTTTGATTATCATAATGCAGTGTGAGAGGCCAAAACCGGGAGCCGGGTTTTGTGAATCAGGTTTTCATGGCAATTAAATGTTGAATAATTTTTTAAGGAAGTTAACATCACATTCGTCAAATGATTCAACTGATAATGTTGTTTTTGAAAGGTACCAACGATGAGACGACAGTCGGTGTTGCTGCTCTGCGCAGTGGCGTTTGCTGCGTGTGCGAATGCAAGTCCGTACTCGAAAATACCGGATAGTTATCAAGGGCAGGGATACGCTGATGCCAAAGCCTCGGCTTACTCGAGTGCAAGTAGTCAAGGGGGTTACAGCTCTTCTGCATCGTCATCGGCATCGAGTTCCGCGTCAAGTGGAGCTTATTCTTCCAGCAATGCTAATGCGAATGCGAATGCTGTCGGGGATGCTGAGGATGGCTACCTCCTGAAGAATCCTGGCACTGGATTTTTGGCCCTGGAGAACAATGCCGAAGTACCCCAGCAGGAACTTCAGACTCCTCACGGTTTTGTGCCGGCAGGTCAGTCAGGGAGTCAGTCCGGAGCAGGTCAGACGCAACAGGGCGGCGACTACTGGTGGATGGGAGCCGGAAGCCCGTTCGGACCCAATGGGAAACCGTCGATAGGCTGCGGATCCAGTGGATGCTCATCCAGTGGGACCTTCAATCTTAACCAGGGCAGTGGTGCAGCTCACGCTGCAAACGATCAAGGACAAGTTCAAGTTCAGGTGCATCAGAATCCGTTCCTGGGGGGCAATTCTGGATCCTTCAGCGCTGGAAGCAGTTACCACGGAGGGCCTCAGCACTCAGGATCCTCGGGATCTTCAGGATCTGGATCAGGGTCGGGCTCTGGATCCGGTCACAATCTAGATTTCTCTAAGAATCCGTTTTTCAACGGAGGAGCGTCTTCTGGTTCTGGGGCGGGGGCTGGAGCCTCTGCAGGTTCCTCTGCGTCAGCATCCGCTCATGCCAATGCAGCTGCCAATGCAGCTGCTAATGCCAAGGCCAACGCCAATGCTAACGCACATGCCAATGCCAACGCCAACGCGAACGCCAACGCCAATGCTGGGGCTTACAACAGAAATCCATTCGGAAACTCCGGACATGGGCAGAGACCCCAAGTCCCCCATGTCCCACATACCATCGGACAAACTCAATACCCGGATGACTCTCAATACCAAGAGCAGAACTTCGATGGCTATCCCAATCAAACTCCCACCCCCAAATTCCCGGCGTCTGGGGGCCTCACCGTCAGCTGCAATGGCAAAGGAAAAATCTGTGTTGCCAAGCATCTCTGCAGTAACGGATATGTCAGCGGCAGCGTGCAAGGACTCACCCAAGTTCGATCTGACGTAAGTCACAATTTTTCTCATAGGCGACGATTTATTCTCCTCGTTAAATGTTTTTATTTATGAGACAATCCAGCTGTTCATTAAAACTGTACTTAGAACGTACACTGTTGGAAAGAATTCAAAATTTCATGGACAGCTTAGTGGTCATTTTCAGGAACGTAACACTGATTTCGATTTATGGGAGACAAAATCGTGAGATTTCAAATTTCACGGATAATTCGATTTAATTGCAAATTTTTTAGCAGTTGGGAAACCGGAATTCTCTGAATTAGTTGCATTTCTAATGAAAACATTAATGTTCAGAATTAAATTCCACTGCATGTTCACTTGATTGAAAATTTCCGGATATATTTGATTGAATTTCCCTTTTTTCTACACGGAGAAGAAAACCTACAAAGAATCATGAGAAAAATAAAGTAAAAATTACTGAACTCTGATGCCGTAAAAATTTGCGGGAAATACACGAAAATTTCGTCGTTCTCGTACTTTTAAAACAAAAACTCGGAAACTTTACTGTTTTTTACGAAAAAAACCTTTGCCTCAGATTTTTTCCTCAACTTCAAATAAAAATGTCTCAAAGATAATTTTGCTCTCTAGTTAGATAGATTATAACGCAATTTTTCATGTGATTTGTTTCTCAGTGTATTAATTTTCGTAGAATATTTGAACAAAAATTTACAATTTCAAATGATTTGATCATCAAATTGTGAATTTTCGGACCAACGGCGGTAACTGTGGTTTCAGTGTGGGATTGGCATGCGGGGGACCCGGGTTCGATTCCCGGTGTCAAATTCCATTTGCCACTCTAAATCTCACGGCTTCATTGTCGAGCGGAAGTCTCGCAAGAGGCGACTAAAAACTTCCCTCAAGTGAAGTTTTCCCTTGGCCTTCGGCGAATGCACTACAGCGGGTTGGGGGGCGGGAAGCGAAGAAATCGTAAAAACTCGAAAGCGTATGCGAGAAGAGAAAGAAATTTGTGAATTTCCGATCATGAATTTCCTTAAACTTTCGGTGAATAAAAATTTCCAAGAATGTATACCGGAAATTAAAAAAAAAATCGTCGCGGGGCGTGTGTAACGTGCAAGCTTACAGACTGGCGTGCGATAGAATAGTATTCCAACGTGCATGGAGAGAAAATTTTTATGAAAATTACCCTGAAATTTTAGTAATCGTGTAACTTATTGATCTTTTAGTGAAAATTATAATGATTTTGTGACATTTTTACTAAAAAAAGATCACTTTTCACAGGACTTATTGCTTTTTTCACTAGAATTTTGTAGAAAATTCAGGAATAATTTCCAAACAATTTTCGTTTTTTCTGTATTCCAAGTCATTACTCGAAAACTCTTACGTAATTTTTGACAGGCGGTATATTCCAATCGTGAGAATCCATCAAACACGAGTAGCTCGAAATGAACACCCACAAACCTATAAATTCCCCAGCCGGAAACATCTTGATATGCGCTACCTTTGAAACATCATCTCAATGTCAAGATTACGTTTCTGACGATGATAATCGCGATGAAGATTTACGATTTCGTCGAAGTACTTTCGAACTCGTCAGTTGAGGAATTGCCTCTAGGATATTCAGTGTAATATTCCCGTCAGTGGATCATCATCTTGGTAACTCCCAGCGAGCCCATTACGCAATCGCACTGCTCTGCGTAACGAAGGTGGTCGTTAAGGTGAAAAAGGCCGTTTAACTTTCACGCAGTTGTCTGATTAAGAGAAATAATTCACTATATTTCATGATTATTTTTACGCATATCTTCTTTTATTTTTCTTTTATTTTCGGTGGTTTGCGATTTAAAGATGACGCGTGACAACGATCCCTTATCGCATCAGCGCGGTGGATTGCTCACTGTTGACTTTAAGGGGAGACTACTATGAATTTTAAAAGTCGCGGGCTATTAGAATGAAATTTCTTACTCAAAAATGAATAATTAGCGCAAAAAAATTGATTGTTTATTCTTCGTTTGCCCCGCAGACGCTTAAAATTTTAAAAATATGTGTGCAATAATAATTAGGAATTAGTTTTTTGAAATTCGACTCCTACATAACTAATTTCGTTTTTTGATTTGATAAAAAATTGCACCATTTATGTAAAATAGCCCAAAAAATGTTTCTGAAAGAATCGAAAATATATATTGAATATTATAAGGATATTTTTTTGCCTCCTTTATATGAATGGCGCAAATTTTTCCATTAAAGTAGATGTCAAATTTCAAAAAACTAATTCGTAGTTTCTATTGCACCTATTTTTTCAAAAATTTTGAAAAAAACCTCTGAAGCTCAAAAATTGGAGGCCCTGGACTATTTTTAACATTTTAAGCGCGTGCAGGGAAAACGACTAATAAACAATTTTTTTTGCACTAATTATGCGATTTTAGATATATCTAATTGATCTTCAATGCATGAGAAATCTCACTCCAATCGCCCGCGACTATCAAAACTCATCGTACACTGTTAGAAAATTACTCTTGAAATTTCAAATAAAAAAACTTGAAATTTTTAATAACACTAAATTTACATGAAATTTATCTCCATTTTTTACTGAAAAATCAAGTAACTTCTTTGAATATTCAATAAAATTCTAATTTCCCGGTCCATACGAGAACAAAAATTATTGAAAATAATGAAAATTTAGGTAATTATTTTACGGAATTCTCAATTTATTGAAAATTCAATGATAGCTCACCATGAAAAACTGAGTTTCATTGAATTTTCAAGATAAATGGGAACTTTCATGAATAAGGTGATCTTAAATCGAATTAAACCCCACAGCATTGAGAATTTAATTGCAATCGTTACTGGAAATTAAACAAATTTCCAACAGTATAGTCTTCCCTTCATTATACAGAGACATAATTCTTTAATGACGCTTTTACCTTCTTTTCGGGAAGCAGCTGTCCTTGGTTGGCGAGAAATTTCAACGATCCGTGGTACTTCCTACATGCTCGGGATACAATTAACCGATGATCATCTCGGTGCGATCGGTATCTCCCGCACGTCATTGAGTAGACAAGCGGGCACTCAATGACGAATGACATCCACCTCTCGACGAGTGTCTCATCCAAAATAGGCTTATGGACTTGTCAACGGGTTTTTCCCCTATTCCATCCTCTTCATAATGAAATTGCCAGCTGGTCAGGGCCATCGATCCAAAACAACCGATTTCCTAATTTGGAAAGTCCCATGCCCGATACTCTTGAATCTTGGATCAACACTGACCACAAACACGCTACAACATTGGGGCTAAATCGTCGATGATACCAATTAAATATTTAATGGTTACGCGCACTTCGTGCAAGTTATTTGCATACATTAACATATATCGAAAGATTATTATTTAAGAAAGGTGGAGAAGTTGTTTTCTTTACGGAGGTACACCTTTTTTTCATCAGCTTACAAGCGAGAAAGATCGAATATCAAGAGTGAAAGAGAGAAAGGGGAGAGCCCGCCGGTATTGACCCCACGGTATATGGCTTCCTTTTTATTTCGATACAGAGTTACAAAAGTCTGGACCTTCACAAATCACTGAAAAAATCGTTATGATAAAAGGGGATGGGGATGGGGCGTTGATGTCATCGGGTATTTTTTTTTACAACTCCCATAATTTTTATGCAATGGAGAAATTGGTGAGTCTGATATTTGGCAACACGAAAGTACCATCTAGAATGAATGGAGAGAAATAAAAAATTAAACATCGAACCAAGACCTCTCATTAAGAGTCTTCGCAACATTCATTAAGGGGAAATTATATTCAATTGCTATTTCATTATGCCTTGTCTTTCCTCGTTCAATTCTAGTCGTATTATTGGCACAGTTTTTACACCGAAATGTAGTGGATAGGGTCAGGGGGTCTCTGGCCTCATCGCTAATGCGTGTGAAAGCCTCTCGCTCTTCTCACGGGTATTTGGAATTATTTCTTCATTTATGCAAAGTGTGATAGATCGGCGAAAGTGATGTTATGTCACGGTATACGCACATATTCAGGAATTTTTGATCTGACATGAGGAAGGAAAGCAACACCCGCACCGAAGAATAGTCAATAATTATCTCTTGGCGTTAAAACTCCCGGTTGAAGAATAATGTCCAGGGGAAAAAATCGTTGAGCGGTGATTGAAGAATTATGAAATAAGATTCATCAGATGTAAAAAGGCCTCTTACATTTGTGGTATTGCACTGGTGTTGATTCATCACTTTTTTTTACGATCTCATCGTCCCGCCTCTTCCCCTACGCAGTAAACACTCTATCGTCACTTGGAATTCATTAGTGACACCTCCGTGTATTTATATGTATTTTTTCACCAACTAAAAATCCGAGGTTTTTTCCTTCTTCAGGTAAAAATGTGAATTACGTAGTCTTCGTGTGTTTCGAAGGTGTATGTCTTGATAAAAATTCAGTGGGGCTCTGTGTCACGGGTGTGTCACGAGTCCTCGAGTCGATAGCCTTGAACAGATTCTAATATCGAACGATTTAAATGATGAGTCGACTGAGACAATCCATATTCATCATCTTTCACCACGTAATTTTTAGATTTAATGTTTCGTTACAACATCTGACGAGTTTATTATGAAAATTTTTGGGATGACTTGTTTAATGGGAGAAATTGATTTTTAAAATTCAAAAATTGACGTAAACCCGATTACGTCTCTCATTATGCAAATATTTCATCTAGAATGTCAGGGAGGCCTCAATGGGGTCACGCATTAGCATGGGAATTTCGCGACAGTTTTCGTCAGATATACGACGCTCAACCGCTAATAAATTTCGTAATAAACTTGTTCCTATCGTAGGTCCTTTAGTGACACACGCCTCTGCACATCCGAATCACATTCATATTCATGGATTCTTAATTCTTTAATGACTATTCTCCGTGGGAAAAATGATGACTATTGAATTTTTGCGTTTAATGTTTTTTGGGTCCGAATGGAAGCTTTGTAATCATTGATTTTGACAATCTTCCAATTTTACGTGAAAATGACGTACAATGTAAGAAACGTGAAGATATGATGTTTTTAGAAATTGTGTGTATGTCCGGATGTGTGCGAATTTGTCGAAATTTTTTTATAAATCTTCACAGAGAAAGGACTAAAGTTGACGCTAAAAATCTGAAATTTCGTCACTTAATTGGTATTACTTTAGAGCATTTCCGGGCGTAATTTCAGCTCAATAGGTCCAGTAGTTTCCAAGATACAGGAATTTCTCAAAAATCTGTTTTCCTCAGTATCTCAGAAACTTCGTGACTCAATTTCATTTATTTGACATCAAAATATTGCTTGTGATAATATCTATCAAATCAAATCACAATATTGTTATGTAACTAGGGAGAGTTTGGTAATAATCGGTTGTCTTCGTTTTTATGAGAAAATCGTTCTGCGCACGATAACTCCCAAAAAATTTTAGATAGGATGTTGAAACTTAGTGAGACTAGCTCTTATAATATTATAAGATAGGATTATAGGTAGGCGAAATCGGACAAGTGGTTTGGAAGGTATTCAACTTTTTGAAAAAAATTGTTTTGTTCTATATATCCGAAACTACTGGTCCGATTAATTTATTTTTCAAAATACTCGTCTGGCCGCTCCTCATTAAGATGAATCAAAATATGGATACCCGTTCATTCAAAGTTTTCGCGATATTCGCATTTTTATAATTTTTTCAGTTGTTTTTTTAAACTTTAATTTTCTCCGTTGAGGATTAATGCGGCGTTCCACAATACGCATAAACTTGAAATAAATATCTGAGATTCTGGCTGCTAATCAATATTATTGAGTCACACTTGTGTATAAAATTTTGTGTCCATTGATTCAATACATCCTGGTATAGAGGAATTCATCCAAAAATCCTTTTTTCTAAAAAGTCACATGGTCATTTTATCGATTACTTTCGCCTCTGGAGGCTTATTCTCGACTTGCGCGAAGGCGGATTTGGGTTTGAATGAGGCTTCGTGTACGGAATGCACATGATAATCCTACAGGCGAGAATAAGCCCCCAGAATGAATTAAAAAGTCATATAATAAACTTTATGTTCTTTTCTATTTTATATTATGTAATATTTGATGAAATAACGGTGAAAACGGGAATCGGCGAGGAAAAAGAAAATACGGGACACATTTTTCCGAGCAACACTTTTCCAAGAACATTTTTCAGGGGAACACGCACGAAAAAATTTAATAGAAAAATCTAGCGAATTCGTTAAAAAATTTTATTGAAAATCTCTCAATAGAATAAGTTGTATAGCAAAAATCTAATTCTTTTAACTTTTTCCATAGAATATTTTTTATTAAAAATTTCAATAGAATCGGACAAAAACTTATAGAAAGTTCGATAAATGTCCAATAAAATTTAATTGTTTATCGAATTCGCTGGGATTTTCTAATAAAGATTTTCATCCATGCATTGCTACAGATCCATTCGGAAGCTTATTACCAATGGAATTTGTAAAGAGAGAAAGAAAAAGACTAATAACGCATAAAGCAACGGTCACATTGCTTCTGTCGAATAGGCTCGCAACCCTGCTTGTTTTTTTATTTTTCAATCGAAATTCCATTTTCTGACCAGACAGCTTTCGCAGGTGCACATACATGTACTTATACGAAAAGTTATTCTCATTGGTGAGTTTCACCAGGTGCCCCCGAGTTGAATTAAATTAAACTCGTGCTCGAATTTAAAGTGGACCAATTTCGTGTTGAGATGAATTTCTCCTCAGCATTCTCAAACTCCTCAAGATCCACACACTTTCGATTACACGTGGAATGAAAAATTCCGTTCATCTGTGTTGACATTCGTCTGAGGACTAAAGTATTGGCCGAAAGATATTTCGAATTCTTCGAATGAGTGTGTGTTACCATTGACAACTGGAAAATAAATAAAAACAACCTCTCAATTTCACTGAGGACGACTGGTCGAGCTCTCATTTGACCATAGAATCATCACGCAATGTTTTCTTTTTTTTCCTTCAGCATGACTGAGACAATACTGGATTACCTTGCAGCAAAAGTTCAATGAACTTAAGGTCGTTCAGCAACCTTCGTTTCCTTTTATCATCATCCTTATTACGTCTTGTTTGGTGATGCTTCTCGCTGGTTCATTATAAAATTCCTCGATTTATTGTGAAATCTTTGTCACACAGATCATTAATGATTCAATAATTTTTTACTGCGCTTTTCAAAACGACGACGCTGATACTAATTACCTAGGTGTGATGGTGTTAATCGGAGTGGTTGTCAACGGGAAATATATAATTGAATGTTAGGCGCCGGTGATTATTTTATGCGTACGCAATCTTACTACATCCAATTGAAGAGTTGTATGTGACAAGTCATATAAAAGCCTTGTCGGATACCTCAAATTTATTACCAGATAGCGGCTTCGAGACTTTTATTCGCTTGACCGTTCATGAGTTACGCAGTTGATATTAAAATAAATTTATTAACACTTCAGGGAGTTGAACGTATGCGAGATCTATCGACATTGTAAGCAGGAAGCGATGGGGAAGATAAATTTCATGGAATATTGATTCGATTATTTCAGGCCCAGAACTGCGATGTGAATCGCGAGGTCTGCTGTAACATGCCCAGCCAGAAGAGTCCTGATCAGTCTTTAGCTGGCACTGGTTACACAAGCGGAATCTCCAGCTACCCACATAATGGAGGAATCTTCGATAATGACGAACAACAGGATACTGACTTGAGCGCTGGTGACCAGGTTCACCAGCAGCCGGAGGAGAACAATGGATATCTTCCACCCATTGGCAGTGAGGGCACTGTAAACGATCCATCCTTCCTCAGGCCTCCACAGCAACCCAAGGAGGTAGTGCCAGCTCCCTCTGAACCTGCACCCACGCATGTTCAGCTTGGATGCGCTGCTGCACTCGTTTGTGTTGACGAACAGATGTGTGGCATGGATGGAACCATGAGCCCAACCCCTGTTACTCTAACGAGTGAACAGATTTTGAGACGTGTACCACTCAGTGTAAGTTGATTATTCAATTGTCACACAACAAATCAGTAGCGAAGCGGCAGAACGGTTCAAGTCGATCTCGACTGTTGGCCAGTTTTTAATGAATATGTCGAGATCTAAGGGAGATGACAAGATTGTCGGCATAAACTGTTTTGTAGCCCTCAATTCGCTCTACAAAAAAGGTGATTACGAAAATTTTGGTATCTCCATTCGATTCGGAGATATTCCACGAAAACTCGGCTAAGGGCTAATTGTTAGACAATCTTAATAATCAAAATAATAATCAGGAAATTAGAATTGAAGACTCAGCTACGGGAAAAACCGGTAAAACTGTTCAAACGACGAACCGTTTTACCGCCTCGGTACTGAAATGATAAGGACATTCAATCTATGGATTGATGAGAAAATCGCAATTTCGTGCAGTTGACAGTTGACTGGCGAACCACAAAAAATAAACAAAAATTGACTTCGTCAATTGAAGTGTCTAAAGAACTATAGTAGTTTTTAAATAACATATTTCGGATCGATGAATTATTTTTTCCCATGTTAGATGAAATTGCCCACGACGCGACGCTGCCGGAAACTCGCTAAACGCGCCCGGGGAGTGTAGCGTGAATTCGGCAACGCTAAAGCCTAAATAACACGGCGGGGAATCCCCGCGGAGGTGACCAAATCGCTGACTAGGGTTAAACTGAAAATTAAAATTTCCATTGATTTTTGCATAGAATTTTGAAATTTTAGTGACGAAAATTCTTAAAATTTCACTATAATGTGACGGAAGTTTACAAGACGAATATGGGAAATTTTAGCCAAAAATTTTTAACAATGTGTTAGGGGTTTTCTGAGGATATTTCACCTATTGTACTGAGAATAAGAGACTGGTCACTTAATTCCAGAATGAAAATCCTTAAAATTCGGGTCCTGCAATGCACAACAAAGCGACATATATCGAAAAAAACTTGAAAATCCGTGCCCAGTGGTTTTGATAGCAGAAATCTCAAGAGAGAAATTCAAACAGAAAACTCGATATCTGTTTGACTCTGCGCAAAAAACAAATAGAATTTTAACGAGAATTCCCCAGAATTTTAATAGAATCCCTATAGAATTTCTAGAAAATTTCAATATAATTTTCTAGCGAATTCGCAAAGGTTTTCTATTGAATCTCTTCATTCGTGTATATCCCCAGAGAACATGAAATTAATAATGTGAATGACATTAATTTTCGATAATGTAACAGGACTGCAAGAACCCAGACAACGGAGTGATCGGAAAGTGCTGTCGTGACCCGAACTACGTTGACCCCTGGCCAGCAGGCAACCTCCCAGCCAACTACTCAGGTGGTTTCGACGAGCAAGGATTCCCGACCTTCCTCAACATCCAGAGAAATCAGCGTCCAACGAAAAAACCCTCCACTCCACCCCCAGTCAAAAGCCGTCCCCCACTAAAAGGTTCCCCAAGTGAACAACCTTCCCAGCAACAACCATTCCCAAGCTTCTCTGATATTCAGAATCAAATAGGTGGTGCCTTCAACAACTACTTCAAGCCAACCCAACCCCCCCCAGCACCAACCGCCTTACCAGCCTTCCCCACCCTCCCAAATGCTGATACACCTGTCGATGGAGCCCCAGAGAAACCAAATAGGCCAGGCTTCCCGAGTTTCCCGAATTTCCCCAATTTTCCCAACCCCTTCGGACAAAAAAATTACGAAACGTCACCGAGTGACGAACACCGCGTTGCCATTGCGCCCTACCCTGGAAGACAGTGCGGTGTTAAGAACGCAGTAAGTGGTCTCTGCTCTCATTAGCCCCCCTAGGTATTAAGTTGGTGGCATGGCTTATTATCATCGATGAAATATCTTTACAAAAATATCTGCGACAAATTATGATAGATATGTTCTTCTAAAAGAAACTTGTTTTGAGGCAAACTTAAGTAGTTTGAAGTAATTCGAAGCGCCTTGAACTGCACACGCACGGAAAATTTTCTAGTGCATTTTTATTGAACATCCATTTGTTTTTCGCCAATTCTAATGAAAAATTCTGCGATTTTTTTTGCTATAAAAATATTGAATAGAAATAATTTTATGGAAAAAAACAATAGAATTTCATTTTCTTATAAAAGTTATTTTATTGAGATATTTTCTATAGAAAGATGAAATTCTATTGACTTTTTTCTACAGAATTGTTTCTATTGGACATTCTACAGAAAAGAAAACGTGCAGTAAAGCTACGGAATTGTTGAGTCGACGGAAAATTAATAGAACTTCAATAGAAATCCAATACAATTTTCTACTCAATGCGCAAGATGTTTCTATGCAATTTTTTGGTGGGTGGGCTACTAAAAAAAATCAAAGTTTATGGATAATCTAGAAGTAATTTTCGAAAAATGATTCATAAGTTATATTGATAAGCTATTATTCATAAGCCTATGATTTATAAGCTATGAGATTTCAGGTTTCAGGTAAAATTCAAGTGAACAACTTTAATTTTTCAAGTGAAATATTGAAGTGAATTTTCAATCATTTGAAATCCAAGAACATATTCTCTTGAATTTTCTTGATTTTTCTCATTTCCAGTGAAAATAGAACTTATAAGGTTTAGGGATTTGACACATGAAATTTCCAAGGGCTTTAAACTTTTAAATATTATAGTGTAAGGTATAAACACAACAATCGAGTGATCTGAAAATCAACATCGAATGTATTGTCGGAAGATTTCCATCGAGTTAATGTCTCGGATATTTTTCCGTAGAGATTGTGTCGCAGATAATAAGTCGATAAACCACTAATTTTATTTCTTTTTGTTTTTTTCTTTAATTTTTATCATTAATTCTTGTCTATAGTCCATACGTTTAATAGTTATTTACTGCCATGTCAATGTGTAGGACAGTGATGAATAAAGTCCAGTGATTTTATTTTCAATTTAAATTTAATTGGACGAACATTTTTTTTATGAATCCCATTCCTCGAAAAATTCGCTCCTCACAGGTTGTGAGGGTAGATTGTTCTAACTCTTCGTTGATGTGGTTGATTTACTTTAACAAAGACTAATTGATTAATTGATTGAAGTTATTAAGCTAATTTAGTTGTAGTGTGTTCTTTATCTTCTCATGCATGTGCATTCTCTCGTTTTTTCTGTTTAATAATCGAAGGTTCAACGGCCAAGTGGTTTAAACGACGTTGAAGTTGGCTTTGGTGAAATTCCATGGCAAGCGATGGTACTCGATAATGATCGAAAGAAACTACTTTGTTCTGGTGCATTTGTTGCGCCCAACGCAGTTTTAACCGCAGCACGATGTGTTGATGGGTAAGTCGATAATAAAATAACTTCCTCCCTTCGGGTCGGGAAGTTAAAATAAGCGATTGGGGTTTTCAATGTTTTTTTTTATTGTTAGGTAAAAACGGAATAAGGAATGCGAACTCTTAGACACGTATTTTTTATCTTTATAAATAGTGGAAAGTTGTGACATCAAGAAGAGACTCCTATGAGTTTTCAACGTCGCGGACTACTCGAGCGAGATTTCTTATTCAACACTGTTCACAGAATACTGAACATAAAAAATCTCACAGGACTTCTTGAAGAATACGATCTAGATCACTCTAGGTTTTTTTCCGATTTTTTCTAGATTTTTCAAAGTTATCATTATGTCGATTTATGCTCGTGCGGTGCTTACGCCGCGACCAACGGCGTTCGTAACTTTTTCGCGACCAACGTTGTTTAAATAATCAACTGGGTTTTTTGGGTTTTAATTTTTATTGTTTCATTTTGAAAAAAAAATGTCAATCGGATGAAAACTAAGGAATTTGCACGATTGTAAAGGTAAAAATGAAAAACGTTGATTTTCGTTGATTCACGGGATAAAATCGAATGTTGTAATAATTTTTGATACATTTTAACATGTTTCACCAATATGAAAAATCGCTCGATACGTCTCCTGCTTCAAGGAAGACTAAGATTTCACAGCGGTCTCCCTTTAATTAGTCCCAAGTCTTCTGAATCACGAAATATTGACGATTCCCAACGTAAAAAAAATCACAAAAAAGCTTGTCTTCATCTAAACCATTCCCGACTTAATGTGGGTACTTCCTGCGGCTTACTCAAGCCATCTTCAACTACTCGAATAAAGAAATTCCTTCTAGACATTATGAAGTCGAAATCCATTTTATCTAATCGATTGTAACTCATTCTTTTCCTATTATTTATTTAGATGAAAAGACGCGTTTCAGCAGATTTTCGCATCTTATATTCAGTAGCGAAGTGGTAAAACGGTTCAAGTCAATTTTGACTATTGACCAGTTTCATCGCCAAGTTTTCAATGAATATCTCGGAATCTAAGGGAGATTGCAAAATTGTTGGTATAAACTTTTTTGTAGAGCCGATTGAGTGCTATAACAAATGTAATTACGAAAATTTCTCTGAAAAACTCACGAAAAACTCAACTGGGAGATAAGTCGACTTAAACCGTTCTATCATTTCGCTGAATTCTATTTCGTAACGAAATTCGTAAAACACCGTAGTTACCAAAGAGTAACTCACTTCACGATTAAAACTCAAAAAATTCTCCTATTCTTGAAAATAGATTCGAGCCCGGACAGATCTCAGTCAAAGCCGGAGAATGGAAACTCGGTTATGAACTGAAGCACGAGGAACCTCTGCCTTTCGAAATCGTTCAGGTTGACTCGATTGTACCGCACCCTGGCTACTTGCCTGGCTATGCTGCGCACGATGTCGCCATGCTCATGCTGGAGAAACCAGTGACTGTGGATCAACACGTGGACACAATCTGCCTTGGCAGGCCAGAAGCACCGAAACCAGGAAGCCAGTGCATCTCCACTGGGTGGGGAAAGTCTATCCTTGAGAGTGAGTAACCATACAACTCTATGCGATCACATAGAAAAATCGAATTCGATTGATTGATTCAATAGAATCGGAGAAAAACCAATAGAATTTCCAATCAAAATCGAGTCAATCTTTCTAGCCAATATACCGGTTTTTTAAAAATTTATTCATACATGCCGATATTGAAAAATTCTCTCTAGACCTTTTTTTCATCATCAAAAATAAATGCTCAATAAAAAAATTTCTATAGAAAAAGTCAATAGAATTTGATTTTTCTATACAACTTATTCTATTAAGATATTTTCTAAAGAATTGCCTCGGCTCAAATTTTCTCTTTTTTTTTCATTCTGTTTTTCTTTTCTTTTCATCAAGAAAATTAGAAAAAAATACGTGAGCCCAGGGAATTCTATAGAAAATTCTACACACAAGATAATTTGAGCCCAAGAAATTCTATGGAAAACCGAATTCGATTGGCTTTCTAGAGAACATTTTCTATTGACACTTTCAATAGAATCGGCCAAAAATAAATAGAAAATCCAATGAATATCCAATCGAATTTTCTAGCGAATTCGCTAGATTTTTCCATGAAATTGTTTCATACGTGGCATAATGAAAATTCCCGTTCTCATAAGAAAAATCTACTCCAGCTATCTTCAAACTACTAATTCATTCGTTTGTTACAGCCCACGCTGCAGGAGCTCTGATGCGCGCCATCAACGTCGACGTGATGAGCCTCCAGGACTGCGAACAACGTCTCCAAGAAGCTGAAGCCCCAGTCGATCTCGACGAGTCTCTGGTGTGTGCGAAGGCCCACAAGAAGAACAACAACATGTGCCAGGTGGATTTCGGTGGTCCACTTGCCTGCGACAGAGGCGACGGACGCTACGAGATCATGGGAGTCTACACTCAGGACACTGGCTGCCTCCCCACCAACCAAGTAGCTACCTTCGCCCTCATTGATGACGCCTGGGTGCAGCACACCCTGGCTAATCCACCAGTTGGTGCACCAGCTGAGTCCCAACGTCGTGTCGAGAAACCTCACACGCACCAGAGAGAAGAGCCATGCGACTGCCAGAAGAGCAATCTCTCTCCCGAGAACAATCAATATCTACCTCCCGTCTAATCGGGCTGACTGAATCCATTAATTCCTATTCAACTCGAATATAAATAATAATGATTTTGATGAGCTCCTAACTCTTGCGTTTCTATTTATCCCTCGATTCAAGTAATTAAAGTAGCTCTACGCTCACGGTAAATTCAAAGATTATTGAAAACTGAAAAAAAATTGCAGAAAACTCGATTAAACTCGGAATTCTAATTTTTTTCTCAATTTAATTATCGTTTTGATTTTTCAAAGAAGAAACGTTTAAAAATCAGGATTTAACCCAGTGTCTTATGTGAAAATCAACATTTCCATTGTAATCAAAGATTAAAATCTGGATTTTTTTTCATTAGATGTGAAAAAATAAAGAATTTTTTTGACACCTCATAAAAAATAATCCACCATTTTGCAAACAAGTTTTATTATTTATTTATAAGAGAGAAATGTTTGAAGAAATATCAATATTTTGCGAAATTTAATTTAGATAATACTGACTGGGTATGAATTTTTTCAAATTTTTCCATGCAATTTAGTTGAAAAATTTAAAAACTGAAAATATCCAAAAGTACAACGTAGCCCGGCCGAAGGGTAGAGCTACTTCAAGAGGTAGCTAGCAGTTAGAAGCTGAGATTTGTCTATCTAACGCCATAATTTTAATGAAATCACACGACAGTTTAGTGGTCCCGTATCAGTAATTTTTAAGGATCTGAGAATTGAGGGAATAATTTTCCTTTCTTATGTACTCATGTATGCGTAAACTCGTATGTACTTAAGTGTCAGTCGGTAAATGTTGTAAATTAGTTGGTGTGCTGCAGAGAAATGAAAATTGTTCTCCGTCCCTCGGACAATTACGCAATATCTAGTGTATTTATGAATGTATGTGATAATTCGGTGTCTCCTTTTAATTATACATTCTGTGACATTTCATCACGTGAAAAATAAACTTAGATGTAAAAAATAATCATTTGGGTTTTTATTCTTTTGCTGGCCGTTACAAATTGGACGATTGAGGAAACACATGGCTGATACATCCATAAATCAGTAGAAAAATTATACGATTTTCAATAGCCATCTCTACAAATATTGGATTTGATGATTATCATGGAATCCAACACGAATAGCTAAATTTCACTGAAGATTGCCCTATATAGCCCTATTGCCCTATACAGTGAAGAAAGCTACGAATAGGGTGTCAACACAAGTTTCAGCATTTTTCATTCATAGAAATATTTATATCCCCCATTAAAAAATAGGTGAAATATTTTTGGTCAGCAATCTATTTCGCCAAGGATATGCTAGACTTAGGAATATTTTATATAATATTTTATCTTAGATTATGAATAAAAAATGAATATTAATTTTTTTTTTATTATACATGTATGTGTAATTTATTCACTATATTTGTTAAGCTTCATAAACTTTGAAATGTGAAAATTAATCTTGAAAAGCCCACGCAGACCTTGAAAGTTCAGCATAAGCTTGGCGAAATAGATTGCTAACGGAAAATGTTTCAACAATCTTCTAATAGAGAATTGATATGAAAATTGGTGGACTTTTTTCACAAAAGCTTGCATCATCATACTTGGAAAATGGAACCGATTTCACTGTTAGATGCACCGAATTTCATAAACCTTACAACGTGAATTGTTCATCGTGACAATTTTTAAAGATAACTTCTCATTTTTTTCTCAAATCTAAACATAATAAAAGCGGACATTAACTCCCTTTCAATGGATAAATGAATAAATAATGATGAAAAATAATATGTATAAATCGCATAAAAACTGAATCTGAGGGGGTAGGCCCAGGTCTCAAACATCTAAACACAGACAAGTAGAAAACTCCAAAGAATCTAGCATCCGATCTGTAATAAACACAGAATATACGAAACAGAAAAAACTTTTCTCACTTATTTTTTGGTACTGTATTTCAAGATTTTTGCTCTGAAAGTAACCAGTTTATTATTCTTTCTAGAATGCCCCATAGAACCATGAGTGTCTCAAAATCAGTAACGTTGTTCTGGAAGCTAGAAAATTGTTTTTCTCTATATGAGTCGTGCAAATAATTTTCTCTAATACATAATCCATTGACAATGAATCGTTCCTCTTAGTGGTTACCTTAAAAACAAATATATTTAATATTTTACGTAGTAAAAATTGATTTTCCCTATCAAAGCTACACAAAATTCCAATATTTATTATTCCACATAATACAACCTGATAAATAAATTCAAAGTAGTCCCTGTCGTTTGAGATCCTCATAAGTCTTCCTATTGACAACATTTCCGAGGGAATCTTCAAACTCCTCCTCCTGCTCAGGCTGCCACCTCTCAGCCTGCTTCTGCGCCTTCAACTTCTCCCACAAAGCAAGTGCATCCTCAATCTGCGTCACATTAGCAAAATGTGCTGTGTTCGGGATGCCCAAACAACGCATGCCATGAGCATGTCGCCACTCAGCGAAATGCCTCTGGAACGCCTTAGGACCTTTGTACGTGAAATTACCACAGATCTCGCAATTATAACTGATGTTGAGTCCATGCAATTTATAAAGCCAATAGGGAATCGGCTTTCCATCCCATCCCAAGGGTAAATTCTTGGGGTTGTATGGGACTTCATTATCATCCTCTTCCTCCGACTCACTGGCACTGGCCTCAGCATCTGAATCTCCTCGCTCCCCTTCAGTCCTAGCCTGCTTCCTCTGGACATTTTCTTTGGTAGCAACTCGCTGATTCGATACCAACTCCGCCAGTTTATAAACTTGTGCCTCCAGTCGTGCAATTTCCTTCTGCTTCTCATTGTCCTTTCCCTTTCTAGCCTTCTTATTTCTGTTCTTGACTAGAGAATTGGGATCGAGCTGTGCGCCATTCTTGGTTTTCCATAGTCTCTGGGCTCTTTCCTCCAGAGTCCCTCCACATTTCAGTCCCAACGCCATCAGAGCTGATTTCAAACGGTCGAGACCTAGAGAGGCAAGTTCCTCCCAAGAGGAGAAGCCAGAGAGCTCCAGGTGAGCTCCAACATTGGCCAGCGCACTGCCAGTCTCCTTGGGCCACCCTGGGAATGTGCAGTTCTCCCACTGCACCTCAAAATCCTTCTGACACTCTACCAAATCTGCGTGTATGTCATGAATAGGTTTAACTCGGCCTATGTACTCAGCTAGATACTCCAGCAGTGCCTCAACATAACGACGATATTCTGCGTTCTTGCGCTCTCTGGGAATATCGAACAGGTGATCGAAAGTCGATAAGTATGTTATGTAGTCAATCTTCTCGATTCCCTTGAGGTTGACGTACTTCTCGTAGCACTCGTGGAGGTCCAGGTATTTACCGTAACCCTCCTCGTCGGTGAATTCCACGAGGTTTGAGAGCTCCTCCGTTGGATTCTCACGCATTTTTGCTAGCTCCTCGAATTCCACGGACATTGGAACACTTATTTCGTTCGGGTGACGACGATAGAACTCTTTTATGGACTTCAGACGTGTGTAGAACTCGGAGAATTCGTTGGGACCAGACAGAGCTTGGACCTGTACATAACAAATTCACGAGTTAATGCCTATATAATTGAATCAATGGGAAAATCGATCAATCAATGAATAGAACTTACTGTTTAATGGATTGATTGATGAATAATCTCACTAATTGATTAAACAGTCAATCAATTTCTTAATGTTTTTTACATGAGAACTCAACTAATTAATTAATTAATTGATTAACTTAAAAAACTGTAAAATGTAATGAGTTTATATTCCATTTTCTCATTCTTTTTCTTCTTTTTCCACTTCTGTTTTCGTCTGGAGCTATCCTTATGAATTTGTCAGTTTGTCTGCCTTTGTTGGATTATATAGCTCTTTACTGAGAACTTATTTGATGACATTAAGCGTACAAAAACAAATTGACGTAGAAAGTACCGGAGAGTTAATATAAACATGAACCATAACTCCATGGGGAGAAAGAATTGAGAGTTCTCTGTCGATAGGTGACGATATTCTTTTGGTCTTTGTGACCGGTATTTTATTTTCTGGAGCAGTTCGTAGAGTACAAACGTTTCTTACTCGTGCCATGTTAATAAAAAAAGACAATGAAAAGTAAATTCACTGCGTTTAATAATTTATTTCGTGACCCATTTCCATTAGTCTTCGGAAAAATATTCATTCGGGGAATCAAAGAACATCTATCAAGTAAATTTATTTCATCTTTCTTCTTTATTCAGGGAGAATGAAGAAAAATCAGGAAACTTGAGGTAAATTTATTCTTGAATTTTCAACTTATCAAAAATTCAGCGTAATTCGGTACTGAACATTTCTGTTTCGATTGAAAATTGGAGTGAGGTAGGAAATTATCGTCTTTCTGCTCCTCAAAAATTTACGATTCCATTGAACGTGAAATGATATTCTCAATTTCATAATTTTCCTCTGCTAAATCGAATCCAATGTTACTCTTCTAACAATCACTTCTAAAATTGTTCGTGAAGTTTTCGAGCAAAATTACAACTTTTAAAAATCCGACAAATACAAAGCTTTCAGTTGGACGTTAAACAATAGTTCAATCATTCATCTTTTGAATTCATCTGTGTAGGGGAGGTTGGGGTAAAACGGACACTTTTGACTTTTTTTAAATGTTAATGAGGGGTTGAAATATTGATAAAATTCAATATTTTTTTTTTCAATACAAAGAACAATTCTTTCCCTTTGTGGTGAGCCTGCACTGCGCTCAATTGATAGATTTGTTTCTGAGTTATGAATAATTTTAAAAAAGTGTCCATTTTACCCCACCCACCCCTAATTGATAATTGAATTAGTTCAACGAGGAATCAATCAATCATCAATTGATTAATCAACTATCCAGTCGCTAATAAAGAAAAAAAACTATCCAGTCACTTGATGCATCAATTGATAAATGAAACATCTAATTCATTAATTAATAATTCATTAATCCAAATCCGTTAATTTGACGCCAAATATTTCGTTCGCATCATGAGGTTTGAGGTTAAGATTGTTGACATAACAGATACGAAGTTTTTAAAATCGGACAATGCATCATCACTCATATCCTTACCTCTTCCTTGCGCTGTCCATCTTTATCCTCATACAACTCCTGCAATTGTCCTGTGCTGTCCATAAACTGATCCAGCAGCATCTTCAACCGATGCTCCGAATTGATACTCTCCCGATGTCCAGGCTTCTTGTGGAGCAGTTCCTTAACCATCGCGTCCATCAGTCTCTCCCGCTCTTCGTGATAACGACGCTGTTGCTCTAATAGCGTCTCCATTTTCAATTATTCCAACGTTTATTAATTGTTGGAGCAGTATAAAACACGACAAAATAAACAAGGTTTACTGAACGAATATTCGTTCCCACACCACCAACTAAATCAGCAGAGAGGAACAATGCGTGTGGAATGTCTAACGTGGCGCTGATTTTCCTCTCATGGTAAATTAATTCCACCGGTAAGGCAGATATTCCCGTTGAGTTTTCAAATTCTCTCGCAGATTCTCGATCTTCAACAAAAACGCTTCATGATCTAACGTGATTTCCCGCCAAACTCTGAACACTTGTTGACAATAATTATCCATGTGGAAGTGAATATTTTAGCTGACTCGGTTGTATCAAAAATACACTCGCAACTGTGATGTTTTTATTTATTCTCCCTCTGTGAGTACCAATTTAATAGTAATACCTGTCTCGTTGCATAACAAGTGCCTGAAATCGTTCCTATAAACAGCAGGACTACTCGATAATGTCAGTGCTCGTCTGCGATGACAATGGTTATCGTTCGACTGACCGTTATGGCCACAACAAACCCGAGAGGAATCGAAAATTCACTTCGCCTGAGAATTTGACGGCATTCCTGGAGAGCAGCGGCAGTGAGGAAGAGTCTAACCTCTCGGACACTGTTACTGAAATTAGCCAGGATTTGGAGTGCGAGTCTGACGATTCTATTCAGTTAATTGGGGAGGCGAGAAATATTGTGAGGAGGAGAATAATTGGGGAGGAGACAGTTCTGTCTGTATCTCAGAACTCAGTTGAGATAATCGAGGAGGGAGAAGACTCATTGAGGACCCCTGATAAGGTTCCCAAACGAAAGAGGTCGAAGAGTGACAGTTCGATTGAGGACGATTCATTTCGCTCTCCTGAAATTCCGTTCACTGGTGAATATAAATTATAATAAATTTCAAAACAATTCTGCGTACTGAATAGTTTGAGAAATGAGATGTTTTTGAGTGGTAGAAAAGACTTGAATTCTTATGGAGAGTTCAGGATTATTTTCGAAGAGAGCGATATTGAATGCGATTGCGAGGGGAAAAAAAGGGAAATTTCAAAGTTCTGTCGAAACTTAAGAGATTTCCACATCTTTTTAGCAGCAGGAGGGGGACAATCTCCCAATTTTCTTCAATTTTCATTTAAAAAATAGATATTCACGAACAAATTTGGTTGAATTTTCAGTGGATTAAAAACATTAGTCAAGAATGTTCACCTGAATTTTATAAATTTTTCTGAAATAATTGAACTGAAATTGACAGTTTTCATTTACTTTCTCATTAAATTGTGAATTTTTGCTGCCGAAAGTCCTTGAAATTTCAGTGGAACTGTAACGTGATAGAAAATTTCAAGCGGTGTATTATAAAAATTATTTTCTAAATTTATGTTTTTAACAACTAATTTACATGAAATTTTCATTCATGTTGTTATTGAAAAATCAATGAGTTGAGAATTCAAGGATACATTTACCTGAATGTTGTTGAATTCTCTCAATTCTCATGGAGTATTTGATTTGAAGTTTACACTTTCTATTCATTTTTTCATCAAACTGCGAGTTTTCAACGACGAAATTCCTCGAAATCTCAATGAAACCATCACTTGGGGAAAATTTCCATGAAGTGGATCGGAACGATCCGCCAAAAATTTTTAACACTGTTGTTAATCATATAATAATTACATTACGTGACCTTTTCTGTAGCTGACGAAATTCTCAACAAAAAATATCGTTCGACCTTCAGTGCTGAAATCTTTTGTTATCGGGGTATTAGATTTAACACAATTTGAAAATACACCAGCAGAATTTTACTATTCCTCTGCTGGATTATAATTGAATGAACCCTCTGAACTTTTCAAAAATGATAACTCACTGAATTGTTGATGAAATATAATTATTTTTCCCAATGTAACATAGGTTTCTTCTCCTTTGCAATTAATTTAAACTCGACTTCAATTGATGGAGTAGTTTTTCAGCCATGAATATTGTAAAGCAATTCAACACTGTTAATTTTAAGCACTCCCTGCATCAAAAATTGAATCTCGCTTACAAAAACATGATTTTTCAGGTTCCCCAGTGATCTACCAACTCTACGAGACTAACAACACGAAGATAATAATAAAAAAATCAATGAGTGTGAAAAAGCCAGAGCCGAGAACCAAGAAGTTCTCGGAGAAGGACATAACTTCTATGTTAGATTCCGACAACGATGAGGAAATTTTCGACAGGCCTAAGAGGAATACTGAGGGTGTGGGCACCCCAAAAGAGCCCCCAAGAACTGCTGCGAGGATTGCTGATGCAAACACCCCTCGAAATTCCCCAAGAACTCGAGGGAAGACTCAGGAGACTCCGACCAAAGATGAAGTATCCCTGAGGATGAAATTCAGACGTTCGACTGAGCAGAGCAACTACAAAGTCGAGCCTCTGGAGACTGATTCACTTGAGAGAAGAGCATCCCTTAGAACTTCAATCGTCCTCCCCAAGAGATTCACAGACACTGGGCTGGAGAACACCCCAGGAAGGAGAACCCCAACAAGGTACAAAAAACCTGTTCAGTATTACGAGGAACCCAGTGACTTGGACGACTCCATAAAAACTCCTAAGAGATCAACTAAACTGGGAGACGCTAAATCAGGCAGAAGAACTCCTTCAAGAAACACAAAACCAGTTCAGTACTGTGAAGAATCGCCTGATCTGAAGGATCCCATGGGCACCCCAAAGCGAGTGTCTCGTCAAGCAAAAACCCCCAAGAGAGATCCCCCCCAGGACGAAATTTCCACACCGAAGAGTCGTTCGAACCACCCCAAGACCCCTAGATCTAGCATCCTCAAATCAGTTCCCATGACTCCCAGTGGAAGACCTCGAAGGAGCACGAGGGCACCTCTACACGTAGATATGGACGAAGACGAGGGGAACGAGAACGACACGAATAAAGGGAACACAGACGAGAGTGATAACGAGATCCTCCCCAGAAGGACCTTCGACAGGAAGAGGAGATTGCTCCCCCAGGAGAGCCCGATGACCCCGAGAAAGTCAGTGACAATTGTCGAAGAAGCCAAGACCCCGAAGAAGTCGGTGACAGAGGAGGGCAGAACCCCCAGGAGGGCTCGAAGGCCATCCTCCTCAGAGGACGAACCAACGACTCCAAAACGTGTGTCCAGACTGGCTTCCCTCACCGAAGAATCTGTAACTCCGAAGCAAAGAGGCAGAGCCAAACTCCAAACTCCTTCCCTGAAGCATGGAGCATTGACTCCCTCCATGCACCAGAGGTCTGCAAACGTGGGAAAACCGAAGACAGCTCTTCAGGAAGCCAGAGCCCAGCTCCACGTGAGTGCAGTCCCTAAGTCCCTCCCCTGCAGGGAGGAAGAATTCAACGACATATTCACATTTCTCCAGCGAAAGCTGCTGGATCACAGCAGTGGATGCATCTACATCAGTGGCGTCCCTGGGACTGGGAAAACAGCAACAGTGAACGAGGTCATCAGGTGCCTGAGGAAATTAGTGTCAAAGGGAGAGCTCGAGGAGTTTAATTTTCTGGAGATCAATGGAATGAAGCTGACTGAACCCAGGCAGGCTTACGTTCAGATCCTGAAGCAGTTGAGTGGGCAGAGTCTGACTTGGGAGCAAGCCTACCAGAATCTGGAGAAACGTTTCACGAAGTCGATGGGACATAGAGGCATGACCCTTCTGCTTGTTGATGAGCTTGATCTCCTGTGTAATAAACGTCAAGATGTTGTTTATAATCTTTTGGACTGGCCTGGTAAGCAAGGAGCTCAGCTGGTGGTCCTGACTATTGCTAACACCATGGATCTTCCTGAGAGGGTCCTCATGGGGAGGGTTACGTCGAGGCTCGGGCTGACTCGTCTCACGTTCCAGCCTTATAACCACAAGCAGCTGCAGGAGATCGTTACGACGAGACTGAAGGACTCGGATGCATTCAGGAGTGAAGCTATACAATTGGTCGCCAGGAAGGTTGCTGCAGTCTCTGGGGATGCTAGGAGGGCTTTGGACATTTGTAGGAGGGCTACAGAGATCGCGGAGTCGAATGGAGGGAAAATAGTCTCCATGCAGGATGTCAATGAGGCTCTCACGGAGATGATCGCCAGTGCCAAGGTGCAAGCTATTAAACATTGTTCGGAGATGGAGAAAGTCTTCCTTCAAGCTGTCTGCGCTGAGATCAGTCGTACTGGAGTCGAGGAGGCTGTTTTCCAGAATGTCTACAAGCAGTTGGAGGCACTGTGCTCGTTTGAAGGAGTGAAAACTCCTAATATTAGTCAGTCCCTGGAAATCTGCTCCATGTTGAGTGCTAATAGACTTCTGCTTTGTGAACACTCGAGGATGGATATCATGCAGAGGATATTACTGAATGTCTCTGCTGATGATATACATTTTGCTCTTCAGAGTGTCCAGATTTAATTGTATTTTTTTATTCAGGGAGAATTCGGTGAAATTGCGAACCGTAATAAGTTGATTTTTCGTGCTCATTAAGTAATTTTTAATTGATGAGATTTATGAGAGGAAATGTTAAAGGGTCTTCTCTGACTACAAACAAGTGTCTTCATATTTTGTCCGAGGATCAGTCTTCTTTGAGATGAAGTGAGAATTATTCGAAATGTTAAATTGAGTTGGTAAAGGCTTTCATTTTATTATTATTTTATTTTGTGTTTTATAAATCGAAGTACAAACGACGATCTGCGTTGGACGCCAGAATTCATAACACTTTCTTTGTTAATTGTACTGTAGTTTTTTTAAATTATTTTGACGATTATGAAAATTAATGCCACAAAAGTGCCTTCCATTGGATAGAAAATTCTTGCTTAATAAAACTCGTATTTGTGAAAAATTCTGGACAAACATTTCTTTCTTGCTTTAAAATAAATTGGTGAAAATATTATCGGATGGACACTGCTGAATGTCTCTGTTCATGATCTTCATTTTGATCTTTAGGCGGTATGTGAGGTGAATTTGAGAATGAATTTCTGTTTCCCGGTAGCTTAGTAAGAGTGCCCGGCGCGTATCTGGGAGACCCGGGTTCGATTCCCGGCTGGGTGAAGCGGAAATTTTTTTCTCTCTAAAATATAATTCAAAGAGAACCTACAAGAATTTTTATCAGAATATTTTTGACGATTTCGTTTGTCGCGATTATCTCGTAAACTATAGCAGATAGAGCCTTAAAACCTATTCCATTCGATTCCTGAGGAAATTTGGGTTCCCTATGGGAAAATGGACGGCTCAGAATTGCTTTTTTCCACTTCCTACACCCTATAGAACATGAATTGAATTAATTTTTTTGGCGATTTCGGTTTTCGCGATTATCTCGGGAACTATGAGAGATAGAGCCTTAAAACCTATTCCATTCGATTCCTGAGGAAATTTGGGTTCCCTATGGGAAAATGGACGGCTCAGAATTGCTTTTTTCCACTTCCTACACCCTATAGAACATGAATTGAATTAATTTTTTTGGCGATTTCGGTTTTCGCGATTATCTCGGGAACTATGAGAGATAGAGCCTTAAAACCTATTCCATTCGATTCCTGAGGAAATTTGGGTTCTCTATAGGCACATGGATGAGATCCGATCAATTAGCCCCTCATGTATAGATATTCCAAATTTTTATTTTTTTCCTCAATGAAGTAGTTTTGAAGAAAATCGCGAGCTAATAAAAAACATTTGCTAGTTAGTACCTTTTTTAAAATAAATTTTTGAAAAATCACCCCTGAAAAAAAGGCGTTATCCCCCCTATTTCATTATTTCCNGTCATCTTTAGAAAGATTTGTCATCTTTAAAGAATTCTGCCCCCCCTTTCTCGTACCACTCTTTCATTTGAGCCCAAAAAAACATTCATATCTTGTCTGACATCTCTGCTACAAACTCGGGTCATCAACTCTGGTTTTCAGTTGAAATTGGAATTGTTAATTTACACAATAATAGGAGTGCATTGACGATTTTTTCTTAACTCGCAAAAATCTTCAAACAATTTGCTACCGATTGGTGATAAAATTTTTTGAAAATAATGAAATAGGGGGGATAACGCCTTTTTTTCAGGGGTGATTTTTCAAAAATTTATTTGAAAAAAAGTCCTAACGAGCAAATGTTTTTTAATAGCTCGTAATTTGCTTCAAAACTACTTCAATGAGGAAAAAAATAAAAATTTGGAATATCTATACATGAGGGGCTAATTGATCGGATCTTTTTTAAGGCTATCTCTCATAGTTTCCGAGATAATCGCGAAGAACGAAAGTGCCAAAAAAATTTAATTCAATTCATCTTGTATAGGGTGTAGGAAGTGGAAAAACGCAATTCTGAGCCGTCCATCTGCCTATACGGAACCCAAATTTCCTCAGGAATCGAATGGAATAGGTTTTAAGGCTCTATCTCTCATAGTTTCCGAGATAATCGCGAAAAACGAAAATGCCAAAAAAAATTAATTTAATTCATCTTGTATAGGGTGTAGGAAGTGGAAAAACGCAATTCTGAGCCGTCCATCTGCCTATACGGAACCCAAATTTCCTCAGGAATCGAATGGAATAGGTTTTAAGGCTCTATCTCTCATAGTTTCCGAGATAATCGCGAAAAACGAAAATGCCAAAAAAAATTAATTTAATTCATCTTGTATAGGGTGTAGGAAGTGGAAAAACGCAATTCTGAGCCGTCCATCTGCCTATACGGAACCCAAATTTCCTCAGGAATCGAATGGAATAGGTTTTAAGGCTCTATCTCTCATAGTTTCCGAGATAATCGCGAAAAACGAAAATGCCAAAAAAAATTAATTTAATTCATCTTGTATAGGGTGTAGGAAGTGGAAAAACGCAATTCTGAGCCGTCCATCTGCCTATACGGAACCCAAATTTCCTCAGGAATCGAATGGAATAGGTTTTAAGGCTCTATCTCTCATAGTTTCCGAGATAATCGCGAAAAACGAAAATGCCAAAAAAAATTAATTTAATTCATCTTGTATAGGGTGTAGGAAGTGGAAAAACGCAATTCTGAGCCGTCCATCTGCCTATACGGAACCCAAATTTCCTCAGGAATCGAATGGAATAGGTTTTAAGGCTCTATCTCTCATAGTTTCCGAGATAATCGCGAAAAACGAAAATGCCAAAAAAAATTAATTTAATTCATCTTGTATAGGGTGTAGGAAGTGGAAAAACGCAATTCTGAGCCGTCCATCTGCCTATACGGAACCCAAATTTCCTCAGGAATCGAATGGAATAGGTTTTAAGGCTCTATCTCTCATAGTTTCCGAGATAATCGCGAAAAACGAAAATGCCAAAAAAAATTAATTTAATTCATCTTGTATAGGGTGTAGGAAGTGGAAAAACGCAATTCTGAGCCGTCCATCTGCCTATACGGAACCCAAATTTCCTCAGGAATCGAATGGAATAGGTTTTAAGGCTCTATCTCTCATAGTTTCCGAGATAATCGCGAAAAACGAAAATGCCAAAAAAAATTAATTTAATTCATCTTGTATAGGGTGTAGGAAGTGGAAAAACGCAATTCTGAGCCGTCCATCTGCCTATACGGAACCCAAATTTCCTCAGGAATCGAATGGAATAGGTTTTAAGGCTCTATCTCTCATAGTTTCCGAGATAATCGCGAAAAACGAAAATGCCAAAAAAAATTAATTTAATTCATCTTGTATAGGGTGTAGGAAGTGGAAAAACGCAATTCTGAGCCGTCCATCTGCCTATACGGAACCCAAATTTCCTCAGGAATCGAATGGAATAGGTTTTAAGGCTCTATCTCTCATAGTTTCCGAGATAATCGCGAAAAACGAAAATGCCAAAAAAAATTAATTTAATTCATCTTGTATAGGGTGTAGGAAGTGGAAAAACGCAATTCTGAGCCGTCCATCTGCCTATACGGAACCCAAATTTCCTCAGGAATCGAATGGAATAGGTTTTAAGGCTCTATCTCTCATAGTTTCCGAGATAATCGCGAAAAACGAAAATGCCAAAAAAAATTAATTTAATTCATCTTGTATAGGGTGTAGGAAGTGGAAAAACGCAATTCTGAGCCGTCCATCTGCCTATACGGAACCCAAATTTCCTCAGGAATCGAATGGAATAGGTTTTAAGGCTCTATCTCTCATAGTTTCCGAGATAATCGCGAAAAACGAAAATGCCAAAAAAAATTAATTTAATTCATCTTGTATAGGGTGTAGGAAGTGGAAAAACGCAATTCTGAGCCGTCCATCTGCCTATACGGAACCCAAATTTCCTCAGGAATCGAATGGAATAGGTTTTAAGGCTCTATCTCTCATAGTTTCCGAGATAATCGCGAAAAACGAAAATGCCAAAAAAAATTAATTTAATTCATCTTGTATAGGGTGTAGGAAGTGGAAAAACGCAATTCTGAGCCGTCCATCTGCCTATACGGAACCCAAATTTCCTCAGGAATCGAATGGAATAGGTTTTAAGGCTCTATCTCTCATAGTTTCCGAGATAATCGCGAAAAACGAAAATGCCAAAAAAAATTAATTTAATTCATCTTGTATAGGGTGTAGGAAGTGGAAAAACGCAATTCTGAGCCGTCCATCTGCCTATACGGAACCCAAATTTCCTCAGGAATCGAATGGAATAGGTTTTAAGGCTCTATCTCTCATAGTTTCCGAGATAATCGCGAAAAACGAAAATGCCAAAAAAAATTAATTTAATTTATCTTGTATAGGGTGTAGGAAGTGGAAAAACGCAATTCTGAGCCGTCCATCTGCCTATAGGGAACCCAAATTTCCTCAGGAATCGAATGGAATAGGTTTTAAGGCTCTATCTCTCATAGTTTCCGAGATAATCGCGAAAAACGAAATCGCCAAAAAAAATTAATTTAATTTATCTGGTATAGGGTGTAGGAAGTGGAAAAACGCAATTCTGAGCCGTCCATCTGCCTATAGGGAACCCAAATTTCCTCAGGAATCGAATGGAATAGGTTTTAAGGCTCTATCTCTCATAGTTCCCGAGATAATCGCGAAAAACGAAATCGCAAAAAAAAATTAATTTAATTCATCTTGTATAGGGTCTAGGAAGTGGAAAAACGCAATTCTGAGCCGGCTACCTTCCTATAGGGAACCCAAATTTGGTTTTAAGGCTCTATCTCTCATAGTTTCCGAGATAATCGCGAAAAACGAAATCGCCAAAAAAATTAATTTAATTTATGTTCTATAGGGTGTAGTAAGTGGAAAAACGCAATTCTGAGCCGTCCATCTGCCTACAGGGAACCCAAATTTCCTCAGGAATCGAATGGAATAGGATTTAAGGCTCTATCTCTCATAGTTTCCGAGATAAACGCGAAAAACGAAATCGCAAAAAAAAAATAATTCAATTTATCTTGTATAGGGTGTAGGAAGTGGAAAAACGCAATTCTGAGTCGTCCATCGGAGAAGTGAATTTTTAATCGAACTGCCCTTTTTTCATCCCTTAATCTCAGTTAGGAGGGGAGAGGTGAATTTTTAATTACCGGGCGAATGGTGAAAAGTCAGTGTGCGCTGCGAAAGAATTATTTTTCTTACTGGCCCCCCAGTTTCATGGCAGTTTATATTTTTTTGTTAAAAAGATTAAGGGATGAAAGAGGGTTAATTGATGGGTAATTTAGTCCTCCGTCAAACAGCTTTTTTTTCATCCCTTAATTTCAATTAGGAGGGGAGAGACAAATTTTTAATTCGCGGGCGAATGGTGAAAAGTCACTGTGCGCCGCGAAAAAAATTATTATCGTTATCAGTGATGTAATGCGCGTTATTTATTACATCGGTTTTCAATCCGTAAAAGACTACTCTGCAGGACAGGAGTCGCCATAACGAAAATTATTTCACGAGTCTTTTTTCTCCGGATGAAGATGATTCGGTAATT